AAACAAACACATTCTCAGTTACCAATAGCTATTAATGTCTTGTAACTCTTTAAGGTTTGACACCAGAAAAATGAAAAGTCCCTCAATATTGATTAACTTAATATATTGAATAAAATTATTTGATTGATATTTATAAATCCCTTTCTGAACCTATTTAATAAAGATGCTCTTTGCAATCAAGCATTATTGGAATAATAATTATATTACGCTAACATCTCTAATGAGTAGTTATTAAAAAAGAAAACTCAGCCGCTGCTTACAGTACCTGCTGCCAGCCACAGTTAATTTTCCGGGGTGCTGAATGTGAATGAGGAATAGTTCTGCAGACGTATAGAGGAGGTTGTTTGGGTTAATTAGAGGGAGCGAGGCTTCCTGCGGCGTCTGGAACCTCTGCAAGCCTTTCTTTTAGCCCGAAGTGATGTAACGGCTGCAGGCTGCAGACTTCAGGCTGCAGCAACTCTGCTGCTCCACTGACTGACAACTTAAAGTGGTCAGCAAGTCGGCCTCTAATGTGTGTTGGTGGTCAAGTGGGAACGAGGTACAGGTTTGATTTTGGCATCTCAGTGAACATGCATTTAGAGTCCATTCATCGGCGTCCAGCAGAGGGTGGATAATATCCCATGTGTGAACAGCAGGAAAACATCTTGAGCATGAGTGGACTCTTAAAGGACTAATTTGCTGAGGATTAATTCAGGCAAAGTGTGATCTCTGCTCCCTGGCCCCTCACTTCTAGTGTAATTAAAATATGTCAACCGTTTTGCAAATAAAAAAGAAAACCAATCCAGCATGATTCAGGAGAAATGCTTAAATCATAATTAATAGGTACCATTTCCTTTATAACTGACCATACAGAGGATTGTGAATGTGTGCAGATCTTTGTTCATATTCTTTTGATGTTGTAAAAACACAACTTTGCAATTGTTGTGTTTCTACTAAGAAAATAATTGAAAATCACACATGACTAAGCTTTCCCACATGATAAGTCATTAAAATCCTGACATCAACAGATGGAAAGAGTTACATGAGATATATTCATGATTCACCCGAGGAAACATTGTCGTCTTGTTGAAGCGACAAACCTCTTGTACTTGGGAGCGGCTATTGTATGCAGCATTCGGGAAATTGTAGTTGGCAATTTTATGCAACAAACTTAAGCTTGAAAAAAAAAAACTTAAGACTTTGGATAAAACATTTTAGATTTGATTGAGGAAAAATGACTTGACTTTAAATGAAAGATGATAAACTTGACTGTAGACTTCTAACCAAAAACGTGAGACTCAAGAATTCAATTGGATTTTGGACAAAAGATCCGATTTGGACTTTTTATGAGACACTAAAGACTTGGATTTTTGAGCTAAAGCCTGAAACTAGATTTGAACTTCTGATGAAAATGTGTGATGAAAGTATAGACTTGGACTGGCTGAAGAAAAACATAAAATTTGACTTGGACTTTGGACAAACAACTCACGATTCAGATTTAGAACTTGTCCTCTAAAGAACTGAGAGTTGGTTTGTGCAAACATGAATGATTGTGAATGTTTTTCTCTTTCTGTCCGTTAAAATTCATCACTGATTCTTAAGAGGTTTTATTGAAAGAATAGACAAAATCTCTGAGTTTCAAGTAAGGTTTTTCACTTTAATCACTTTAACGTCATGACTAAAATGTTTTCCCATCTTAGTCATGGGAAAACAGTTTGATAAAAAGTTCAGCATCCCTGCAGATCTGCAGTATGTGTTTTATAAAACAACATGCATCACTGAAACCACACTTTACATCAGTTTATTTTCACCTTTCTAACCTCCTTGCCTGACTGTGTTTTTTTTTATGTTCGTCCCTCAGTAGGATTAGAACAGTGCACCTCAAGAGTGCCTGAAGGACAAGTACAAGTAAAACATGCAAACCCCAGAAGCATAAAAGAGCCTGGAGCTGAGATCGAAATCTAAACTGTCTTTCTGTGCAGCTGCAGTGAGCCACAACAAACCGATGCTGTATCCCAGTCACAAGACTCACGGGGGCCATATTTCTTCCCTGCCAACCTGTGCTGTGCAACACTCCATGGCTCTAACAGCATTCGACGGACGCTCTCCTGGTTAGGGTGACTGCCAGATAACATGGCTGCCATTTGTCAAATGGAAAAAGCCACAACAATATCCAAAAAAGGCTGAATAAAGCCATAAGATCCATGAATCTGAAGCAGCAGCTCCTTCCAGGTGGTTCTCTGCAGGAAGGGGAGCAGGTTGGGGGATATTGGATGAGACAGAAAGCTCGTCTGCCTGCCTGGCTGCGGCCATTGGACTTGGCAGCTCTCTGCCAGGGAAATGCTGACAGGCAGGCGCGGCTGTCACAGTGCATAAGTGCCTCCTTGCACAACGCCAGGCCCTATAGGGCACGTCGGCTGCTCTGCGTTCAGAACCGTCTCACTCTCAGGCCAGCAATTGAAGTGTGAAGAGAGGGGCATGTGTCATCGTCTTTATATGGATGAAAGCCTCTGTAAGGTGAGAGAAAGGCCAGTGGTGATATCATAAGAGTGCACAGCGCTCATTGGCACGCGCGTTCATCACAGAAGCTTAATTAGAGGAACGGCTTCTGTGACTAAAATGCACACAAGGCAGAGTTTTTCTGCAAGCAAAGAATTTCTAATCACACTGGGTCAATAAAAGCAACATAAGTGCACAGATTTCAGCAAAAATGTTTCAGGCACACTTCACGAACTGCTGAGCCTCTTTTTATATAATTTATGGACAGACGCAGATTGAGGGCCTCCCTGCTTTCTCTGGGACTTTGAAGCTTCAGTGAGAATTAATTTCAAATACTCAAAGCATCAGTCATGGGAGGACAATGACTAATGTACCTGGAATAACCTGAAAGTTATCAGCAGTGAACCTGATGTTACACTTTGTTAGCTCGCAGGTCACATTGGGAAGATGGATGAGCTTTACGTTCAGTTTTTAGGTGATTTGTCGCACTCATAAACTTGTGACATGCCAGTTTTCTGTGACATATCTGACTTCTCACAGTTCTGGGGTCATCACTGCAAACTTTGTCTTCCACATCATTTACTTTCGACATCTCAAGTGTAGTTATAACTTATAAATCTGTCGTTATGAAGGGTATTTTTAAATATATCCATATCCAAATGTCAGAGGAGAACTCTGTACTAAAATGTTATACCTCTGAGTTGGGTTATGTTTTCTTGTTCTTGTGCTTTGTGAGTGTTCATATTTTTTGTAGGCATTGGTTCAAAAAGTAATAAAAAGTTGTAGTTATAATTATATATATCCATGCAACAATTTTGTTGCATAGGCAAAGGAAAAGGCATTGTTTTTTTTGCATAAATAGTGTGTAAATGTGGCTAAAATGTCTTAAATAAATTCTATATTTTTAATAGTCATAAAGAAAAACATCCAAAGACTAACTCTTGCAAGAAAGACAAAACATTAAAAGTAGTTAAACTACAAGGTTTTAGAGGTAAAAGGTTGACTGTTTTAGATTTAAACCACAGAACACCTCAGATTAAAGCTGCTTCTTTTCCCAAACCCTGGGAACTATGTTGAGTTCATGGCATCACAGACAGCAGAAAGCTGAAAATGGGTCAGTGGTCATGACCTTAAAGATAAGTAACAGCACATCGCTGAAAGCCACCAACGCTGTGAAATACCAGGACCTTTTAAATAAGAGGCTTCTGGCAAAACCGTCTTTTCTGCAGCTGAATTCAAAACGTATGGCTACATCAACATAGAAGTGATTACCACACACAAAATCAAACTAATGCACTAGTTAGTTTGTGCACTAATAGTGGAAACAATATTTTCTTTATCTTCTTGATAAAATATATTTTTTGAAGAAATTGTGTTGAATTCAATTGTCGCTTCAAAATAAAGATTGTGTAAGATTTTTTTATTTTCCCACATCTTCACCGTGGTGACTTACCCGTACGTTGTTACATGTTTTTAATAAAACTACTCCTGAATGGAAACAACCTTGAAATAACGTTAGCAAATGTTCAATTTCTCCCCTGCAAACACAAGCTGAATGTTTTTCTCAGGAATGTCACGAAAGAAATCAAATTATCCTAAAAATGTGCTTAAATTTGAAGTTATTTCCACCTGAGCTGGCCTATTTTGAAAATGTGTTTTAAGAATTTGTAAGCAATTTCTCGTCAGCATTGTGGTGGAAGGAGGACTGTGCATCCCTGAAAGAGTTTTGTGTGGTGCTCAGGAAGAAAAGATGACCTTACTGTGACCTTTGCTGTTGAAGCTTTGTGTTTGCGTAGCTGGGCCCGATTGTTTTGACTAGCACAGTGATCAGTCTTTTGGCTGGTTTTCCATCAGAACGTATCAGCAGACCTTTGTCTGCTGATACGCTTTGGCATTAATTATTTGACAGGTGTCTATTGAAAACAAAAAAGGCAAATTATAAAATATTTAAGAAGCTCCATAGAAGTATATCTGAACTCTAAAATCCAAGTTGATGGATTAGATTTTTCCCAAGGTTTTCAAGAAGTCTGGAGCTCCATTAAAATTCATATTTAACACCCGAAATCCTTCAGCGTCTCTGTTTGCTGAATTTCATTGCCTTGCTATTGATCCCTCTTGACACGAATAGGAAATCAAAGTCACCTCGATGTGGAAACTTTTCTTTTGGCCTTCAGCTACACTTGCATATCTGAGACAGATTTTCTGATGAGCTGTCTGGCTAAGTGTTTTTCAGCCAGAGAAATTACAGTATCAATTGAAAGTGACTTTATAGAGTGAGGAGGAAAAAGCAGATGTGAAGGGGGGGAGGAGGGATGTGAGGAGAGAGTAAAAACCGACGATGAGAGATTATCCCTTTGAGACGCAACACTTATGATAGACATGGATTGTATTTAAGGCACGATTGCTTTTTCAGGGGAATGAGGAAAGTGCCATTTCAGTATAATAAAGACATTCATTCTGCTTCATATGGCTGAATTCTGAAAGCCTTTTCTTCTTCTTTTTGTCTTTGTTCCTCTCCACAGATGTACTGCAGACTGCCAATGATTTCTCCTCCTCCAGTTCAGATTCAAAAGCAGGGAAAGTCTGGATTTCTGACTGCTTCTGTTCCCACAGAGCGCCGACGTCTCGTCCGCAGCTAAACCGCTGTCTCCTTTATCGCGCCAGTGTCCACTCATCCATTCATCCCCATGGCTTCCTTTCTGGTATCATTGCTTCTGCTGGTTCTCCAGACATATGCTGCCCCATCTGAGCTCATTAAGGTAGGCTTTGGTTCAGCCCTGGACAGCATAGACCCTGATCCAGTACCACCAGTCAATGTCTCTGAGGATTCAGCTTCATCCCCACCACCAGGAACAAGCAAGCGAACCCCACACAGCATCATTATTGGCGTGCGAAAAGGGGGCACCAGAGCGCTGTTGGAGATGCTTGACATTCACCCTGAGGTCGCTGTGGCTGCCACCGAGGTTCACTTCTTTGACTGGGATGAAAACTATGCCAAGGGTCTGGAATGGTACCGTGACCTCATGCCATACTCCTACCCTCATCAGATCACAATAGAGAAAACTCCGGGTTACTTTACGTCACCCCTTGCACCAGAACGCATCTGTGCCATGAACTCGTCTGTTAAGCTGCTGCTGATCTTGAGAGACCCGACTGAGCGGGTAATCTCTGACTACACCCAGGTGTACTTCAACCGACTGGAGAACCACAAGCCGGTGCAAGCCATCGAGAACCTTCTGGTCCGCAACGGAGCCCTGAACATCCGCTACAAGGCGATCCAGAGGAGTCTGTACGACGTTCACATGCGTAACTGGCTGAAGCACTTCCCCCTGGAACAGATACACATCGTAAACGGGGATGCTTTGATCCACGACCCCCTGCCAGAGCTTCAGAAGGTGGAGCGATTCCTGAACCTGCCTCCGAGGATAGTGTCCTCCAACTTCTACTTCAACCAGACCAAAGGGTTTTACTGCATCCGGAGCGACGGACGGGAGCGGTGTCTGCATGAGTCTAAGGGACGTCCTCACCCCTCCGTCAACAGCACCGTTCTGCAGCAGCTTCGCTCCTACCTACGGGAACACAACCGGAACTTCTTCAGGATGGTGAAGCGCACCTTCAGCTGGCAATAAGAAACCTACGTCACAAACTGGACTCTATCGAGCCGAGACTTAATGAGGAAAAGAAACAGCACTTTACACATCCATGAAGGAAGTCCTTTGAGCAACTTCTTATTGATTACTTTTGTGATCCAGTTTCAGCAAAACATTTCTATATTTACACATTGAAAACAAAAAAAAATGTAATTACAAACAGCCTGAAAACAGAGAACTTTCAGGTTTATTTCTTTCTGTGCTAAAAGCATTTAGCTTGTCAAATAGCAGTGAACATGAGTTAGCTAAACTGGTGAACTTTTGCCCGACTTTCTTGTTTGATATTCTTCTTGTTCTTACGAATAAACTATTGTTTTAAAATGTAAATGGAAAATGTGTTTTTTCCCCTCCTATTTTTTCATTTCCAAAGTGTCTGATCCCACCAGCCGGTGTTATTCAGGAAGCGTGAGATATGAGCAGAGGCATTACAATAAGCCTTTGATTTACTGTGGTGCAAGCTAGACATTAATGCAAGGAAATGGGTACCCTGGAGCAGCACTTTAGTTGTACAGGAATCACTAATAGCTTTGGACATTGAAGGTGGCCTGCGCCCGCAGCTAAAGTCAGATCTTCACAGTCAGCAACCTGGAATCTGCAAGAGCTTCTGTTGCTGCTGCGTCGCTCAACAATTTGCACAGGTGTTAAATGTGGCCGTTAAATCATATGCCCAACAGCCCTGTAAATTATTTACAAATGACACTGTATCTGCATTGATGCTTTTTCTACATATTCTCGCTTTCCTGAATTGCGCAAAGCATGCAGTTTTCCCAGAAACAGCTTGTCGTCGTCTCCCACAACAAATAGACAGGGGTCATGTTTCTTTCATTGATTAGACTTTAAACAGCAGCCAAAGCTACAGCTCCACCGGGATCTGATATTCATGTGATCTCTCTGCTCTGTCTGCTGGAATAAGCACTGCTCCCCTCCCGAAGGCAAACAGTCATTGATGCTGCACTGAATCCATATCCTGGGCTGAACATGGGAGGGGGTGTGAAGCCAGGGGCGATATAGAAATGTGCTGAATATAATTACATTAAGAGTGTAGTTCAGCAGGGTGATCTGGGGTTTAGGATTAAAATTCCTTTGGAAAATTATACTGTACAAGTAGACACATTTTTGTGTGATGACAATTTAAAAAGCTAAATGTAATCATAATCTTGCTCCAGGACTTTTCTCTCATCTGCTCAACAGGGGGCACTTGAGCCCAAGGGTAAGTCTTACACAAAAGATGAGTTCAGATGTGTCTAGTTGTGCTCCCTCCTGTTGTTTGAGATAAAGGTGAAGGGCCTGGGAGAGTCACTCTGTGACCTTGGCTGATATGTTCTTCTCCGGTATGTGCAGCCCAGCTGCTCATCTGGGAGATAAAGCGACCATTACCAATCTTTCCCAGGGTGCTAGTTTGGCAAAGCCGTGTTTTCCGTTCCCCAGGTGGGTAAGAGAGACAAAATGCCATGTTTGGTTTGCACCAGGACTACACAGCACACTTTTAGTCCTTTTCAATTTTTTTTTTTTATTGAAGATGTTGGGTTTGCTTCCTGAGAGGTACGGCACGCATTTCAAATGATCTGTTGAGTAAATTATAAAGTTTATTGTGTTGTTTGGTTAGAAATAGTCATCCACTCATCATCGATATGTTCAATTTTAATTTGAGGTTTTTAATTGTTCATTTGAATTGTTTTTATTTCCAGAACGAGGCTGAATATCCACAAAAGACTGTCAGATAATTATACATGCAGAAATGCAACACTTTGGCCCTTTTATAAATTAATCTATATAGAAACCTTTTAAAAATAAGTGACTCTATAATTTTTTTTTTTATTTTTATGGTTTATTCAACAGATTCCTGGATGATATCATGGTAAGATACCAACATATTTAATGCATAATAAAGGCATTTCTGACAACCTTTTTTTTGGAAAATTATTTTATATTGAGAACAAAATAAATAATAGCTCATTTAGCCCCAGTAATAAATCGTAAATCTGTAGCAACACAATTATTTTAATGTTGTGACCTTAAAAACAATCTTCATGAAAAGCGAACAGGGACTTAAGGAGCTTTGAAAAGTTGTTTCAAAATTGTGTTATAATTGTAACAAGGATTGTAACTGTCTGTTTGTTACAGGATGCCAAATTCTTTAGTGTGATGAGTTCTGATACTCCAAAAGCTGCAATAAAACATCACCCCAGTTCTCTCTCCTCTAGCTGGAGTTCATTTTGAAAATTTTCATCACACCTTCTCAGCCCCTCAGGTCAGTCCTATAGGTACCAACGTCTGGGACAGGAGAGCCAAACTCATTTCCAATTTGAACTGCATCAAAAAGGGCCTGAACAAATTGCTGAAATTTTAATAAACAGCTGTCTCTGCATTCGATGAGTACTTCTTAGAATTAAATAATGTTGAACATCTCAATTTGTGTGTCCCGTTAGTCTTATGGTGAGCCGGATTTGGCCCCCAGGCCTTGAGTTTGACATCTGTGGTAAGGAGGAACCTGGAAGGGAACAGGACCTTCTCGATTCGAGAGGGTTGTTCACAGCCATCTTTTAAAACCCATTTATATTCTTTGGTTTTCAGCACCACTGAACCGTAATTTCACCTTGTGTGTTTTAATTAGTTTGTGTTTCATCTTTTGTTAGATGTCATATTTATGTATTTTATTTTGACGTATGTTTTCAGTTTCCAGTTATGTGCAGCATTTGTTTCAACTGTGGTTGCTCTGGAGCTTTTCACTTAAAGTGAAGTTGATGTGGTTTGAATGATGAAGACAAGGACAAAATTTGCATTTCATCTTATTCCTCAAAACTGTTCATTCACATGTTACCAACTCTAACTGCACATTCCCTTGAGATGACAGACACGATGCTGAATTCAATGCTTTGCAAGTTTTGGAAGAACATGTGCTCATAAATGTGTTATCATCTGCAAACAGTTGTTTAGATTCTTGCTATTAACACATGAATTAGCTCAACAATAATTTGCTTGACATAGAGACAATCCAGTTTTCTGTCAGAAGCAGCATTTATATCTAAGGCAGTCTACGCCGCAGTTTATCCGTTGAATCAGACCGCATGAGCCAGTCTTCACATGCATCAGTGAGTCAATCTGGCTCCTCTCAAACTCACTCAAATCATTTTAACACACTGGCTTTTCAATTCAAAACACAAAATGTTCCCTTGCTGCTTAATACATCCTTCCCACTGACACGTGTTTATAAGAATAAGGAGTTGGAATAAATAAGTTCTTCACACTACTTTTCAAGCATTTTTGCTTATGTCTAAATATGATATTTTTCTGTAAAACATAAAATGAATGACTCAAACAATGTCTTATCCTTACTGTATATATATATCATGGAATCTATTTGCGTGGAAGTGGATGCACATGTATTTTCTTTGTTCCTTTTTTTTGCCAATTAACAGGCATATTATACATGCATTTTTATTCTTTTACATGGCTTGAAACAAAGCAGTAAATAAGTTACTTTATATGTCAGTAATCATAAGATTTTGCCTGATATTCATGTAATTTCTTCTGATTAAGAAACAACTTAAATGATAACTATATTAAGTGAATACAAAATGTACCATGATCAATATCATGGTTACAACATGTTTCTCAAATGTTATCATTCAGTACCAAAAACCAAAAGGTCACACCTTAGAAAAAATAAGTTAATTTATCAAAAAATCAACAAAATGTTGTTTTAAAGGGGCAGCATTATGTGTTTTACAACTACATAGTATAATTTCATAGCACAATCAAGTGACTATGTTACCTTCATTAGTTATAAACATATCATATACATATAGATCTATGTAAAATATAATTTTCAGCAAATTTGAATATGTTATTTCACATTTAATTGGGTGTCTGTCTCTTTAAAAACTCGTATGTTTGTCAAACTCCTCCTCCAGGAAGTCATCTCAACATGGCTCCTCTATTAACCCTTTATCAACTGTTTCATTGAGAAGTGGATCCTATATTGAGCTCAGGTGATGCACCAGGTGTTTGCTAATTGCTGCTGGCTAGTGTGAAGGAGCTCAGGCATTTTGTATGGCTGAATGGTTGCCATGGGAGATTAAAATATTTCTCAAACATGCAGGAAAGAATTAAAGCAACACTTCAGATATAATTTTGATGAGAGAATGACATTATAATGTGATGTAAAGCACAAAAAAGACAATTTTACATAAAACTGCCCCTTTAAGTTTTCCTCTCATGAAAAGCTTCCTCAGACCTTCTGTGATGAAAACCCTGACTCCAACAAGTTTCTCTAACTAATGGCTCCTATTGAGTGAGTCACTTATCACTGCATGTCTTTGATAACTGCCAACCTTGGATGTAATTAAAGGTTTGAGGGGTGGTCTGGAGCAATCTGCTGTAGATAGTTTGGCTGCTCTTGTCATCCTAGGAGCCTCTAATGATCTGTCTAGGATTGTGATTGATGAAGCACTTAGCATCGAATCAAAGCACGAGGAACGCTCGCTGCTTGCTAAGCTCTTTGCAAACTAACAGCCACTGTATTTGCGCGACATGAGTCTATTACGGAACTGTCCTTGATGGGAATTAATGACCTCCGAGTCAACGTTGGAAGCGGAACTTAATGGACAATTAAAGTTGATTGACATGGCTCAGCAGAGACATAAGCTGCGGACTGCACGCGTCAATGAATCGTTCTGCAGCTCAATAGGAGTCCATTTCCTCTTCTTCGCTCATGAATGCTGCAGAATATCAAGTGCCTTTGAAGATGTTTATCCACATACATGTACTCGTCAAGTTTTATTGATTAAAAACTTGTAGCATTTAAAGCAATCAAAATGTTTTTCCAATGCCGAGGTTTTTTAATTTGTTGCTTTTCCTAAAAAACTAAAAAGTGTTTTCATCAAGGGCACCACCAAGGAAACAATGAGGTGTTTTCAGGCTGATCTTATTGGTTTAAATGCCACCAACCTGTAGGGAATAACTCATATAATGGTATGCACAAAAATCAACTTATTCCAGCCTTTTTACAATTTTCTCAATCAGTAAAATCACAACAACCAGGGATCTAATGAGATCAGGGAGTTGATGTGTTTCCCAGAATGTGCAAGATTATCCCAAACACAAAAGACTCCGAAACATGAACCGCTCTGATAAATGAGTTTCTGCTCTTGTTTTAAAGG